GTGTGACATTATCATTAATCCATCAATTCTAACTAGTTTATTAATTTGTTATGTTTGAGTTGATGCACATAAGTCGTCAACATAACTATTAAGAAACACGAAAACAAAATTTTGATTTCTTCACGTAATGTCACTCTCATAAATAAGAAAAGAATAATGAAAAGTTAGTCTACATAACATTATTCTTTTCGTATCTTGAAGGCCATAACTATTGTACTAACCTTAGCCCCAGCTCACACCGAACAATTAATCATTTGAGAAATTAATGCAGGTTTAAATTAAATGGACCAAAACCTTCACCAACTTGATCATCAATGCATGCATGCTAATTTAGAAACCAAACAGCAGATTGAAGAAACTGCAGTTCATGCCCTTGTTATTTAAGAAAGTATTCCCTATTTTTTTTTTCCAGAATGTAATGATGGTAGCTGCCAGTAGGATTCTTAACAATTAACCTTTTTATTATTTTTCTTGAAAAAAAAAAGACGAAAAATACCATATTAATCCATTCTATTTATTTTTTACAATGGAATTTAAAGAAATTTTAGAAACATACATCATTCAAGAACAAGACTGCAAAAGTTTTGCCCCTTAAAGATGAGTACGCACACTTAACTCAAGAAACTTCGGAGCATCCCCAATGACCTAAAGCAAAACAGCTTTTCACAGGGCTAGGCAGGAAAAAACACCTGGTGGAGTCTGAAATTAGCGGACGAAGAAGAAGCATAGGAAGAAGATGAAGACTATTCTATCTTCACATTCGATAAATATTCCCAAACGGCGTCACCACAAAGTCAAGGAGAAACTGATCAAGGTGGACGCGAATGGGTGTCCAAGTCGGCGCGCGACGCTAATAAACCAGAAGTAGCATGTGTGAAGAACAAAGATATTAAGAAGTTTCTGGATTAAGCATGTGAAGAAAAATATTTTAAGAAGTTTCAGGATTAAGCGATTTGATTAGGGTTCTAAGTTTTTAAGATCAGGAGGCTGAATTTTTATTTCTTTCTTTTTTTCTTATTGGTCAAACATAAACTTTGTTGATGCACAAAATCAGTGAAGACTTTGAAACAACGTAAAGTGTCAAGTTTGTGATCTTCACTCGGTTGCTCCGGTCACCTAGTGATGATAATGTGTAAAGAGATAGAGATAGGAAAGCAAACACAAGATGTACGTGGTTTACCCTAAGTCTGGCTACGTCCACAGAGTAGAGGAGTTCTCATAAATAGTGAAAGGTTTACACAAATACACAAGTTTAAGCACAATCATCATTAGTAGGTTCTGACCAGTTTGAGTACAATAATGACATTAGGGATTCATTGTAGGAGAATGATCATTGTAGGAGAATGATCTTCTTTTATAGTTGAGGAGAGTCTCTAGCTTTTGTTCGCCGCGGTCGATGTGGGACTCTATGAACTTTATTCTGACGTTGACATGTGTCGTGCTGTGATTGGCCTCCTGGTTGGAGGGAAACTCTTGTGCTTCAGCAGGGGTGCCTCAGCATGAACCCCTCAGTGGATCCTTGAAGGTATGAAGTTGACAGGTGCTTGGTAGTTTCGGGATTGGTCAATTATGGTACAAACAATGCTCCCCTAAGTTCCCGAGTAAGGAAAGCTTCTCGGTTGGGGACTTGAAAAATCCAAGTTACTGAGTAATCACAAAACTTCTGAGTACCGAAGTGTAGTAGCATATAGTGGGAGTCTCCCAAGTTTCCAAGTGAAGAGGATAGCTGAAGGAGGTGGCTTGATATTCTTGAGTCGTTAGAAAAAAAACTTAAATTATCTCCTCCTCTAGAAAATGTGGTTGAAACATTTTCCTTTGTGTACATATCTTGAATGGTTGAAATTTTGTAGGTGAAGCTTATGTGAATGGTGTTTTCTCGACGTTGCCTTAAGAAGTCTCGACAAATGCAATAAACAACCTTCAATTCTTCCACTCCTTCCATGAGGAGGTGCCTTTTGCTGCCTCGCCACTTCTTATACCAAGGGTTGAAGCAGTTGGGTTGAGAGAAGTCTCGCGTTGATAAACATATTAATGGGTAGTTCGTTCTTCATTAGGAGTATCCATGTTGAAGACTAGTGACCCTTCATGTTGGGGGGTACACAGGTGATCGTTACCATCCACAAAGACGATGGGCTTGTGAGATTGAGTCTGCCTAGTCTCGTGGAACATATCGAGGAGTTTCTCATATTGTTCTTGGAAGATCTCATTTTTCATTGCTATCTTGTTGTTCTGAACCTCAAGCTCTTCGACCTTAGCCTGAAGAGCAAACTTCTTTCTTTCCATCCTTCGCTATCTCACACTAGGCACGAGGGGGTATTGTTATGCGTGATGTGGCTTCCTTCGCTTCCCATGTTGAAGAGGGATACCTAATCAAATGAGAGTGTACGAAAGATAGAAACTAGCTTGACAAAGCTAGAGAGAGTAGAAATAAGTGTCGTTTCCACATATGGCGCCAAATGTTGATGCACAAAATCAGTGAAGACTTTGGAACAACGTAAAGTGACAAGTTTGTGACCTTCGCTCAGTTGCTCCGGTCACCTAGTGATGATAATGTGTAAAGAGATAAAGGTAGGGAAGCAAACACAAGATGTACGTGGGTCACCCTAAGTATGGCTACGTCTACAGAGTAAATGAGTTCTCATTAATAGTGAAGGGTTTACACAAATAATCAAGTTTAAGCATAATCATCATTAGTAGGTTTTGATGACCAGTTTGAGTACAATAATGACATTAGGGATTCATTGTAGGAAAATGATCTTCCTTTATAGTTGAGGAGAGTCTTCAGCTTTTGTCCGTCGCAGTCGATGTGGGACTCTATGAACTTTATTCTGATGTAGACATATGTCATGCTGTGATTGGCCTCCTGGTTGGAAGGAAACTCTTGTGCTTTGGCAGGGGTGCCTCAACATGAACCCCTTAGTGAATCCTTGAATATATGAAGCTGACCGGTGCTTGGTAATTTCGAGATTGGTCAAGTATGGTACAAACAAACTTCATTGATAGAAGAACATGTTACAAATGTTACATGAGATAAACATAAAAATGCAATTAGGCCGAAAAGACAGCGAAGCCAAGCATAGCACATGTAGATCGAATTAGACTCAATGGGTTGACATAATTTGTCACCATCACAACCATTGTGTAACTCACCATTATGATGCTCGGGTCCGCAGATACACCATCAACACCGACAAAAAACAAAGGCCACAAAACAAAAACAAAAACATACAAAGCAGGCCCAAATTAATAACAAAACAAATCCCTAATTTCACAAGACCTAAGATCCACAAACAATATAGTAAAATTCTCCAAAAACACTCAACCAATGAAAGAAACAACCAAACCCAGCAACCAAGTTTGCCACCCGAGGACCAACAACAGAAGAATTCCCATACAAACAAAGCAAGTAGACAAAACACAATTAAAACCGCAGAAGGAGGCGGCGTAGAGACTCAAACCACCAAAATGGTTTTGCATACCTTCATTTAAGTGAATGACTACTCGCTCTTGAGGTGTTTAGTGAACACAATGGCCATATAAGTTTTCTCATTCAAAGGCAGGCATCTGGTAGGGAATTGGAGGATATATGGGTGAAGGGATGGAAGGATAGATGATAACAGATGTATGAGACACAATGTGGAGAAATATGAGATGTTGTAAAATTAGGGATTTGGGATATTTTTTGGGCCAATTTGGATTTAGTGTAGCAAAACAAAAGTCTTTGGGGAATGAGCGGAAAACCGAAAGGAAGGGAACCAAATGGCCCAATCAGAAGTCAATCTCAAGCCCACCACCACTGAAAATCTGGGACTGGGGAGAGCCACCATCAATAGATGGGGCATACCACCGTCTTTGGAAGATGGGGCAAGCTACCATCAATGACAAATGGAGCAAAATAGCCAATAGGGAAAGGCAAGGCAAATAAAGAAGGGGAAAATGGGTGAGAGATGAGGAGAGTGTGAGAGAAGAAAGTTGGTGGGAAGCATGGAGGAAGCAGGAGGGAAGGGAGGGGCTACCGCCTACCCATAGACCCAAAGGGAATAGGCGGCAACTGAAGGGTTTCTAGAGATTTTTCTCACAAGGGGCGCACTTGGCTTGAGTTTTCTAATTTTTCAACCTTTTTAAAAATGATTTATATTTTTTATAGCCACGCAAGCAAATATGTGGAACTTACGTTTTGCCACATCATCACGCTTAATTTGACGAATTGATCATGTATGAGATTGAAATTAAAGCACAATTTTGTGTATAACGCTACAATGTTTTAAAGATGAAGTATTGCATCAAAACTTAAGAGTGCAAACTGCGATGTTTTAAATATATAAAAGCCTTTTCCATACTTTTTCAATAAAAACCGAACAATTTGCTAGCACTGATCTACACCAACCTTAACTCCGTCGAACATATAGCAAATAAATCTTTGTTTATTTAAATTCAAAAACGAAAAATAACTATTTAATTACTTATTTAATTTTCATTTCTCAAACAATTTTCCTTTTGATTGTTCTGGAATTATAATTGGAAATGTAACAATTAAACTTTCATTTCTCAAACAATTTTCCTTTTGGTTGTTCTGGAATTATAATTGGAAATGTAACCATGAGTCTCTCTCTCTCTCTCTCTCTCTCTCTCTAAAATATATTATGCCGCCATATGTAAAGTATAGGGGTGATTTGTCTTGTATGGAAACAAAGCCATGAGAGCATTAAATGAAGAGAATCATGGCTTCTACATGCACCTGCCAATTCTCACCAGAGCTCTGATCTTATTCCCAAAATTGCCTAAAGAAAACACCCCAGTTCTGAAAAGCCTATTCCTTTAGCCATATAGGTACTAAGCTCACCGCAAATTACATCCTAACCATTCATCCACACACCCACCCTAATATGCTTAACAACAACCTTACACTCTAAACCCTCCCTCCACCCACAGCCTTTTGCCTTCTGATTATAAAACCCTTCTCTCAGTTCTCAGTTTTCAGTTATCTCATCTTCTCTCCCATGGCTTCCTCTAGCTACAATCCACAACCACAAGGTCCCCAGCTGAACCCGTATGCAGAACCATGGAAACCCAATACTGTTGTTTGCCAACCCTTTTCTGCTCCAAATAATCTTCAACTTCCTAGGGCAGGGAGACGTCCAGGTAACAGTAAGGGAAAAAGGGTCCACCCCAGCAAAATTTTCAAGGGCCCCAATATTCCTCCTCCTCCTCCTCCTCCTCCTCCTCCTCCCAGGAGAACATCAGATAGGACGAGTAGGCCATGGAAGAAGCTTGATCATGGGGCAAAGTGGGTTCCGAAAAAGCTTGATCATGGTGCAAAGTGGGTTCCGAAAAACAAGGGGGAGATGCAGCTGCATGAAGAAGAGAAGAAGCTTGTCATTCCTTTTCCATCTTGTCCTGATGGACAAGCAAGGTCTCGTATAACCACTGTCATGGTTAAGAATATCCCCAATCAGTTTAAGTATAACACCCTCTCTCTCTCTCTCTCTCTCTCTCTCTCTCTCTGCACTTTGAGATTTTGGATTTTTTTTGTGGAACAAAAGGATCGTAACTTTATTGTGGATTGAAAAAAGAAAGATTGAACTTTGGAAAGAAAAAGAAAAAAAAAATCGAACCTTTATTTTGGTTTGAAAATAAGAAGGTCGGAACATTATTTTGGTTTGAAAATAAAGTTTGAAAACGTTCTTCCAAAATTCCTAATCTCTGTCTCTGTCTCTGTCTCTCTCCCTCCCTCTCTCTCTCACTGTTCATTTGGTATTTTGGATTTGTTGCTCAAGAAAAAGGATAAAGTTTGAAACTTCATTTTTGTTTGAGGAAAAAGATCGTAACTTTTCTGCGTTTGTGCATGTTTTCTGCATCTTTCGACACTCACTGTTCATATGGAGTAACATGAAAATAGCAAATCTCTTTTGTCCCTCTTTCTTTAAAGACTGAACTTTTCGTCTCCAATGTTTACCCTTTTCTGTCTGAAACAACAAGTCTTGTCCGAGAGTACATGTGATTGCATTAAATTTTATTTTAATTTATAAATTAAAGCATGTCTGCAAATATTGATGTGTTTATATATGTAGGAGGACTGATTTTCTGAACGTACTGAAAACGCATTGTTATCAAGAGAACCAAATGCGTCACATACGCGATGAACGAAACAAGTCCAAGTTCGATTTCGTTTATCTGCCCATGGACTTCAAGTGAGTAACATTTAATTTTTACTACACTGAAATTAATTAGTTTTCACAAACCTTGTTTGTGCGGTTGTAGTTTTTATTTTCGATAATTTTGTTTCCATGTATGTAGGAGAAAGCGGATTTCAAATCTGGGTTATGCGTTTGTGAATTTCACAAGTCCTGAAGGAGCACTGAGATTTTACTGGGAATTTCACAACCGACCTTGGAGAGTAGGATTCAACCCAAAAATATGTGAAGTTACACGTGCCGAAATCCAGGTTAATTAACTAATTAACCTGAGTCCTTTGTTTTGATTATATAAGATGGGTTTTCTAATTAAAACTTTTATCTATTTATTTATAAAATAAAAAATAAAAAAGTTCTGAGTTTTTATTTTGGAACTGGGATCTTCGAATTTCAGTGAGTGAGCTTATTTTTTATATTATTCATTTTCTTATTTGGTTTTGAAATATTGTAGGGCAAGAGTTCTCTAATGGCAAATTTTAGGTACAAGCTGTTTTGGTGTCACCTAGATTCGTACCTGCCGGTCGTTTTGGCACCTGCATGTGACGGTATGAATCTGCCTACGGTAACCGTCGTCGGAAAACTTGCTGGCAAACCCTCTTACTGCAAGTGATCTGTGCCTTGTGCGGTTCATTTGGTCATATATATATTTTTCCCAAGCTTCAATGATTTTACATATTTGGTGTCTTAATTTTAGCTGAAATCTGAATTGTAAATATATGGTCTTATGATGTGCCATGATGCTGGCTTCTTAAGTGAGGAACTTCAAATGAGTATCTTTAAATATGTGTGCTATGTGAAGTGGGTGATGTTTTTAAGGATCAATGGGAAATGCTTGGCTTTATATGCTTGATTGGTGTTATAATTTTATTTCTCGAGACATATGGTTCTTATAAACCTTGCTTATTCTCTGTATAATACGAGCACGGGATAGTGTATTCGACTCTCCCTTCTCCAATATAACTTCAATCATACGATAGGATATGATTATCTCGTGCTTAGAATTTGATTGGATTGAGTAATTCATTATATTTTTTGACAAAAAAAAAAATCATTATATTTATGGTATGTTGAAATTAAGAAATTTTGTTCAACTTGAAAGTGGAGGATGAATTATTCAATAAACATATTTTCTCTTTCCAATACCAACAAAACCACCATTTTCTTGAAATATGAAATTGAACAATTACCAACCACAATACAATGATTAGATATATTTTCGAGAAACACTAAGGAAATTATCTCAAAAGTGGAATTTTTCATGAATTAATTACTCGTCACCTCATGTTGTGAGCACGATTCTCGTGTCAACATTATAAAATATTATACCTAAAACATGAGGTGGTGGGGAGTCTCATTTTGAGAGTCTCCTTAGCATTTCTCTATATTTTCCCCTCAGTGACTAGCACATTAAAATTACAATTCACTCGGTCAAGTAAGCAAGATTTTGGGTTCATATCTAGCTAATTTCAACATGATAGCATACAGGAATAGCAGTGAATGCACATAGAAATGACATAGATCAAATTTTCTGCCCCAAAAATTAGTGTGTCTTCTATGTGGCTCCAATTGTTGAAGGACATGTATTTATAAACTTAATTTTTCTTAAGTTTATTGTCATAAATTTAGGGCTAGTTAGGTATTGGTGTGCTTTTAAAAAAAAAAAAAAACTGTTTATGCATTGCTGTGAGAATGAACAGCTGTAAAATAAATTTGTTGAGTGTTTGGTAAATTTTTAATTTTTTTAAATTGTTTTTAACCAAAAAAAAAAAAAACAGTGACTAAGTGTTGGGTAAACTTTTATATAAAATTGTTGTGGATATGTTAAATGACTAAAAAGAATATGATATTTATGTGATATTATAATTGTCAAGGCTAATAATGTAATGGCAAACGTTGTAATTTTGTAAAATATGCAGGGGTATACTTGCCATTTAAAGATTTCATTAAATAAGCAATGAACACTATGCTTTGAAAACAAAACACTTTTCTAGAAGCATGATAGACCCTACTTCTGCTTTTATTTTATTTTATGATTTTCTAGTGTCATTGACAACAGTTTTTAAAAAAAGAACTTTTTCTTTTGTTTTACCAAACACATTTGATGTTCCAAATTTTTTAATAAACTATTTTTTTTAAAGTACTACAATCCCAAACCAGCCCTTAACATATGTCAAACAATGATTGAGGCCACTGAGAAGCCACACCCACACCCATTTTAGATGCACTACAAATCCTAGGGCAAGCAGCACAAAGCAATTTACACTACTTGTTCAAAAGTATTCTTGAATACATTTAAAAGTATTTTTTTAATAGTCACTTAGTGCTACTGTCTAGTGGTATTCCTTTTCACTTGTAAGTGAGAGGTCTTAAGTTTGATTTTCGCCAAAGGCGAATTTGAACCATATTATTGTTACCCATTGTGAGACTTAGCCCAGCCCCCTCTCCCTTAATATAAATAATATCGTTTGTTAAAAAAAAAATTTAATACAACAATATATTTGTACTAAGTTGCGGAATATTTGAGCTAAACCATAAAATGGTCAATCATAATAAGTTGATATCTAAATCTTCATCAATAATAATGGAACTGAAAGAAGAGGTGTATCACATAGTGCCAAGTAACTGTTCACAGCTGTTTCTGGAATGGTAAATTGAAGTCATTATAAATGATAAAAATCAAGGAAGAATTCACAAGAGGAACAAAACAAACTCTAACAACACCACTTACGTACATTGAACCCAACAAATAGAAAATTATTACTCAAAGTTAAAGCATGAACCTATAGAATTCCAATTAATAAAAATTAATTAAAGAATTTATTCATGAGTTCATGAACATCACCCTCATTAGGTCAATAAAGCACTCAATCCACTGCTTCTCCTTCTGGCAACAAATGAAAAAAAATAATAATCTGATTTTATTTCTTACTAATTACTATAATTGTCGATTGGAGTCCCCTTCCATACAGTGTATAAATTAGACCATGAGCACAGGTACCATCCATCTTAGTCTTACCCCTACGATTTCATTACCGAAACATCTTTAGCACAATTTTCTCAAAAATGGCTGCCTCGGTCAAGTCCTTCATTGTGATTCTTCTTTTGTGTCTCATTAGCAGAGGTAAATAGTTGTAAAAATTGATTTGCTTCGGTACCCCCTCTGCATTCTTTCTTCACGTAGAAATTCTTGCATAATCTTGAATTGTAAAGGGTTTCATTCTGCAGAGCCTGTCGATACGTCAATCTTCTTGAAGCAAGGTGACGTGTGCCTCCTCCAAATGGGTAGCACCTTGCCCCCTGGTGCTTCCGTCAAATTTTCCTATGCTTGGGATCCCCCTTTCATTATGTTCCCTGAGTCTGCCGCCATTGTTGGTGCATGTTGAGAGCTATTGAGATGGAGGCCCATAGTTTAAATTTAGTTCGATGCTTTTGAACAAATAATTGTACTTGGAATTTCGGTTACAAATTTAGTACATGTAGATCTTTTACTGCCTCAATATTAATCGTTGGATACATTTCAGGAATATCATTCCGTTTCATTTTGACAATGAAATATATTATACTAGTCTAAACAAAGGTTTGAAAGGGCATTAAAAAGACAGGAAATTTTAACATACTATAATAAGTTCAAAGATTAATACAAACGGATTTTTAGTTCTGACTAAAGGACATTGGTTCTCAGGTTTGTTGCCATGCCTATCAACTTGTCAGAAATGTCTTGAAATTATAATATTTAAGAGTTGTTTTACATAGAAGTTGAAAACGTTGAGAGAGACAGGCAGTGAAGATTTGAGGATAACTAGTAAGACACCAAAGTATAATGGCTTCAAAAGTCAGAAGTTGTGAAGAGAAGCGCATTTTGATTCCAAACTGACGAGACTTCCTTTACAGTGACTACTTATTCTTTACCTTGTTTGATGATATTTGGATCAAAACTTAAACTTTGGACTCAAGAAAGAGGCTGGCTCAAAAGGATTCCTGAAGGAAGAGTCGGTCGAAGCCCAGCAAATTGGCCGAAACCCAGACAAGCAGGAAAGGGCTTTTCTGACTTGGTGCAGTTCATGAAGGCCACTTGCTCACCTACCCAAAGGCCAAGTGGTATAGACTGACCAGCTATACAGCCCATAAAGTACTTTAGAATGGCAGAACAAGTAAAATAGCTGATGAGTCACTGCCTCTCAAGTTGCATTCGGGAAAAGTTGCTGCTATAGGAGGCCAAGCTGGGTTGTCTATAAAAGAAGAAAGAGAAATCAGGAATAAGGACACTCAATCAAACAAACAAATGCAAGCACAAACTCTGCTCAAAGCCAGATTGCCTTCAAAACGAAGTTGTAGTCAGCCCAAGCCTTCATCCCCTTCGGGACAAGCCTTCACTCAAACCTTTGTAATAGCTCTGCTACCTTGTTCAAACTTGTTGTAGTATCGATTTCTCTTTGTAAACCCCTCTCTTTACCCCCTTCTAAAGCTCTCAGAACCTTGATAAGCCACAAAGATAGGAACCAGCAAGACAATCAAGCTTGCCCGACAAGGTTAAACCTTGCCCGACCTTCTTTGTTTTTGTCTTTTCATTCATTAGCCTAGCAATATGTTGTGTACTTCCAGTTGTATTCAAGTTATTTCTAGTAAGATGACTATTAAAAGAACCTCTCAGTGCTTAGACCCGATTTGAATATATCTTCATGGTTCAAATTAGATCTAAGTTCTAAGCCCTCGGGCATGTATATCTGATCAGTTAAAAGTCCTTGGCCTCAAGGCATAAAAAAGAACCTTATGTGGACTTAACCCATCCACGATAGTCCTTGATAAACAAGAAGTCTGAAGTTACTTGGGGCGCAAGTAATCAACCTACCATTTAGTTTTATTTTTATTATATTATGATTATCATAGAACGCTTATGCATGTAATGGATTCTGATAGGAAGCCTCAAGGCCTACACTTAAGGCCACCGAAGGCACCTATTTGGGTTCATTCCGTTCCGCGGTCTAGAACATTTGAGTATAAAGAACGAATTCTGATAGGAAGCCTCAAGGCCTACACCTAAGGCCTCACAAAGGCACCTATTTGGGTTTGTTCTATCTCTCGAATACGGGTAATCAGAAGTATAATAGTTATAAGACTCCTGCAATCAATGGAACAAATATTATGTATTCGAGCACTGGTTTAGTTATCGATGGGAAGCCTCAAGGCCTACACCTAAGGCCCCACAAAGGCACCTGTCATAACTAACGCGGTTTCTCGGGCACATATATATACATACAACTAAAACTCGACATCCATTTCACATCTGTCATGCTAAAGATGGCAGTGGCACGCCTGAGTACTTAGAGGTTAATCTTGATTGTGAGCCTCAAGGCCTATACCTAAGGCCCCACAAAGGCACATTTCAAAGTTAACGTTGTCCTTCTCTTCCAGCCTTGCCCGACAAGCCTTGCCCGACAAAGCCCCACAACGAAGCAGAAGCCCGACAGCAGCCCTCAACCGGCGCCAAACCTCCAGGGGAGCTATGCATCTCGCCGACCAGGAAACGTCCCCGACGGAAATTCCCGACGCAAACATAGTTTTGGCACGCCCGGTAGGATACATTTGATCAAAAGATATATGTCAAAATGC